CCCCATTCTCCTGGCCTTCCCCCAGATAGGCCCTTAACTCTCCTACCCTTCACCTCTGCAATGGCCTCGTGAATACTTTCTCCTCTAACCTTCTTCTCCCGTCATATCACACGTGGGTCTCCCCATCTAGCTGAGTTTCCCAACACACAGGTCTGTGGAAGGATGACAATTTCGACAACAGCAAGTGGAGTTTGTCAAATGACTGTGTTGAGTGATTTAACTGCCTTATCTCAATCTCAATTGTTGTAACAAGCCAACAAGCTGGGGGGGGGGGCTTCATCATTCTGCCCGTTGTAGAGATGAAGTGACCACAAACTCCCATGCTGTCTCCAACGGTAGCCACTGACCATGTGAGGCTCGGGACACCGAAATGGAAAACCATGGAAAAAAATCAGTTTCTCAGTCACATTAACCCCACACCAAACGCTTAACAACCACACGCGAGTGGCTGTCATTTTGGAGAGCACAGATGCAGAGTGTTTACTTCGTGGCTGAAGTTACCTTGGGTTAGGAAAGCCCGCTCAGGGTCACGTCGCAGGCGGGGCCTCGCAGCCAGCGGCCTGTGAGTGCAGAACCCTTATGTGACTCCTCCTGGCTTCTAGAAGGAAAGAAGTTTCCGCCTGCCCTTAATCATAACCTGTGCCCAAGTGCTCCCCTTCCGGAAAGAAGTTTCCGGAAGGAAAGGAGAATCGTGGCCTGTGCTCAAGTGCTCCCCTCCTCACACCGTGCCAGCCTCGTCCTGCAGATCAGATTTCATGTCTCCTGAAGCAACTCCCCGGACACCCTCGCTGGCTCTGCCCACAGAGCTCCTCTGAGAGCCCTCACCTTCTCTCGCTTTGGCTGCCACTCTGCTGCTCTGGGCTGGCATTCACTAAGCGTTCCTAAGTGCTTCACACTCAGGTGCACCAACTCCTCCTCCCCACATTCCGACTGCAGGTACTACTGCTGTCAGCAGTCCACCCACAGGATAAACTGAACCCGTTGGGAATCGAAGAACTTGTCTGAACCGTCTCTCTGCACTTTGGTCTTTCCAGAGGACTTTGTCTTCCCATTATTACATGTTTGCTTCTTCGATGGTGCTCAAGGGCTACTCCCGAGCTCAGAGCTTGGGGACTGCTCCTGGCCGTGCTGGGGGACTGGTGGGTCCTGAACCCAGGCCTCCCACATACCAAGCATGCTCCCCGGGCCCTTGAGGACTGCTCTCCCCGCTCCTGTGATTACATTTCTGAAGAGCAGGTCTTTTTCTTCCCAGCTCCACAGAAAGAGGACAAACCCCCCTTTTTTTTTCACTGCTTGGTAGATATATTTCTGTCTTTGCAAAATCTCCATAAAAAAATCATGGTTAGGGCTGGAGCAACAGCACAGCGGGTAGGGCGTTTGCCTTGCACGCAGCCAACCCGGGTTCGATTCCCAGCATCCCATATGGTCCCCTGAGCACCGCCAGGAGTAATTCCTGAGTGCATGAGCCAGGAGGAACCTCTGTGCACTGCTGGGTGTGACCCAAAATGCAAAAAAAAAAATCATGGTTGATTTAAACTCTCAGCAGCCCGCTCCTGAGCTCTGAGGAAACTTGCTTTCTTCTGGGCTACCCGATCTTTCTTCTGGGCAAGAGACATACAAAAACTCTTCTTAACAGCCCATAAGGCCTTCCATGTTCAGAATATTCCAACCTCTTTTTCTTCAGTTTTGGGGTGTTTGGTTTATTTATTTATCTTTTTTTTTTTTTTTGCTTTTTGTGTCACACCCGGCAATGCACAGGGATTACTCCTGGCTCATGCACTCAGGAATTGCTCCTGGCAGTGCTCGGGGGACCATATGGGATGCTGGGAATCGAACCCAGGTCGGCCATGTGCAAGGCAAACGCCCTCCCCGCTGTGCTATTGCTTCAGCCCCCCTTTTTTTGTTGTTCGGTTTATTTTGAGGTCATACCCAGCAGTGCTCAGCACTAACTCCTGGATCTGTGCGCAAGGACCATTCCTGGCAGTCCTTAAGGTGCTGATCCAAACAGAAAAAAATATGGGGTGCTCAATATGCATGGTGTCGACTGAAGAGAATACGCAACGGAACTGAATATGCGGTGCTCGGGATGGAATCCGAGTTGGCCCAATGCAAGGCGAGCACCTCAACCTTGTACTCAAAATGCACACCTTGGGCTGGAGCAATGGCACAGCGGGTAGGACGTTTGCCTTACACGTGGCCAGCCCGGGTTCCGTTCCCAGCATCAGTGCAGAGCCAGAAGTAACCCCTGAGTATCACTGGGTGTGACCCAAAAAGAAAAAAAAACATCCCAACCAACCAACCAACCAACCAACCAACCAACCAAACAAACAAAAAACCGCACACCTCAGCCCAGACCACAGCCTTCTGAGTTCCCCAGACCTGCTGCATATTGTTCCTCGTGGCTTGACTTGCGTGCTTTGCTCCCTGTGGGAGCGTCATCCCAGCTGATCAGAGCCGATCTGTGGCAGTGAGTACGGCACTGGGACATGGGCCCCCACGGAGCATCCTGCGACTCCCGGGGCAAGAGCGGAAGCTCAGCACCCCCCTTCACAGTCATCTCCCTTGAACACTACCCAGGGGTGGGGGTAGGAGAGGGAGCCTGGGAACACCAGTGGAGAGAAGTTGGCACTGGTGTTGGGACTGGTGATGGAACACTGTATGTCAAAAACGCACTGTCACTGTCACTGTCCTCCCGTTGTTTGTCGATTTGCTCGAGCGGGCCCAGTAACGTCTCCATTTTGAGACTTGTTGTTACTGTGTTTGGCATATCGAATACATCACGGGGAGCTTGCCAGGCTTTGCCGTGAGGGCGATATTGGCTAATATATATACTTATATGTATAACATGTATAATGTAATATATAATGTCCTGTCATTGTCCTTTTGTTTTTCATCGATTTGCTTGATCGGGCCCAGTAACGTTTCCATCATGAGACTTCTTGTTACTGTGTTTGGCATATCGAATACTTCACGGGGAACTTGCCAGGCTCTGCCGTGCGGGTGGGATCCTCTCGGTAACTTGCTCTTCGAGAGGGGCTCTTCGAGAGGGGCGGAGGAATCGAACCCGGCTCGGCCAGACCAGCTGTGCGCAAGGCAAATGCCCTACCACTGTGCTATCGCTCCAGCCTGTCAAAAACCCAAGTATGAATAACTTTGTCATTGGTGGTGATATAATAAAATAAAATTTGGGAGAAAAACTGCAGTAGATTAAAAAAAAATTGGAGATAGCTTATCCATAGAGCACCTGTCTAGCAAGCATGAAGCTAGGATTTGATCCTTGCCACATGCCCACATCTGACCCCAGCAGCTCTATTGTTCGGGATTCTCCCATATTGATTGGGCATTCTTCCCAGGCCACAAGAGAGCATGCGACTGTCCACCCAACTCAACCCAGTGTGTGCAGAAAGGCAACTGCGGGATGTGTGATTGTGGCTTATTGCAGAAACAGTAGCAACAGCAGCAAAGGGGAGGGAGGAAATACACTTTATTTGTTTACTTTGGGGGCTGGGGCCACACCCGGAGGTAAGTTCTGGCTCTGCCTCAGGGATCACTCCTGCCAGGGTGCGGAGGGCCATACGGGACGCTGGGGATCAAACCCTGGCTGGCCACATACAAGGCAAGCGCCTTACCTGCTGGCGATTAAATTCAAAAAGACTAGCAGAATTCTCATTTTACAGACCAGGGATAGGGTCTTGGAGTCTCTTGTCACTTTTTAAAAATGTCTTGTGGGGACTCCCAGTGGTGCTCAGGGGGCAAAAGGCCAGTCCCAGGGACACTGCTAGTCCCAGCAGGCTAGCTTGATTGTGATGCTTGTGATGGGGGGCTCACGGCTTGCTGTGGGTGCAAATCAGATCAGGTCCACACAAGGCTCCACTGACTCCTGCCTGCTGCGGACCAGAAATGAGGATCTTTTCTTTTGTTTCTAAAAGAAATTCCCCCAAGGCTGGAGCAATAGTACAGTGAGTAAAGCGCTTGCCTTGCTCCTGGCTGACCTGAGTTCAATCCCTGGCACCCCTAACAGTAACACTCTGGCCCTGTACCTTACTTTTTATTATTTTTATTTATTTTTGCTTTTTGGGGTCACACCCCGCGATGCACAGGGGTTCCTCCTGGCTCTGCACCTCCTGGCGGTGCTCTGGGGACCCGATGGGATGCTAGGACTCGAACCCAGGTGGGCCACATGCCAGGCAAATGCCCTCCCGGCTGTGCTATCGTTCCAGCCCCGATCCTTAACTTTTGTTGTCGTTGTTTGTTTTTCCTTTTTGGGTCACACCTGGCTCTGCACTCAGGAACTACCCCTGGCGGTGCTCAGGGGACCCTGTGGGATGCTGGGAATCGAAGCCCGGCGGCCGCGTGCAGGGCAAACGCCCTCCCCGCTGTGCTCTCACTCCAGCCCCACCGAACCTCAACTTTTTAACACGAAATGTAAAGAGGACTTGACAGCTTACATTTCGTTGTTCATTATGATCATTGTTGGCTGTGAGGGCACACCCGCTGGCAGGCGGCGTCGCCGTTGGAACCTGCGGTTTCACGCAGGCCTGGGGACGTCTGGAAGCAACTGCCCTAGGGGTGCTCGAGACACGCATCCCGGGCGCCCCGAAACGCACAGAGTCCCGGGCGCCCGGAGGCGCAGGGCTCTCGGGCCCCCGAGCCCGGGTCCGGGTGCAGGGCGGTCCAGTGGCCGACCTGGTCGCGGGCAGGTGGGGTTGGGGGGGGCCCAGGGGCTCGGGGCCCGCGCGGTTCGGACTCGGGCGGGGCGGGGCCGGGGGGGGGGGAGCGCGGGGCGGGCCGGGGGCGGGCTCGGCAGGGGCCGATCGCGGTCCGGGGGGCGGGCTTTGCGGGCCGGAGCGGGGGCGGGCCGGGGGCGGGCTCGGCGGGGCGGGCCGGGGCGGGCCGGGGGCGGGCTCGGCGGGGCGGGCCGGGGCGGGCCGGGGGCGGGCTCGGCGGGGCGGGCCGGGGCGGGCCGGGCCGGGCTCGGCGGGCGGCGGCGGCTCCGGGTCGGCGCGGGGCCTGCACCTGCCCCATGGCCCCGTCGCGCCGGCAGCTCGGCGTGCGCGCCGCCTACGCGGGGTTCGGCGCCCTGGCCGGCCTGTCCATCTTCGTCGTCTGGACCGTGGCGTACCGGCAGCCGGGCACGGCGGCCGCGGGGGGACTCGCAGGTACGGGGCGCGCGGGTGGGCGAGGGCCGCGCGGGCGCACGGGGCGCCGGGAGCCCCGGTGCGCAGACCCCGTCCCTGCTCCGGAGCCCCCGGGGGACCCCGCCCTCGCCGCTCCCTGGCGGCCGGGGACCCCCGGGGAGCCCCCGCCCTGCACCCCGCGGCGACCGGGCCCTCCGCCCCGGGTGCTCCTTGCACCACCGCGGCCTCCGCTGGGAGCGCGGACCCCCTCGCCGGCGCCGCTCTGGGCCTGGGGAGGGCGCAGGGCGGGCTGGGGGGTCCGGGGCTCGGCCAGCGCTGGTGCCGCCCGGAAACCTCGGTGAGATGCGGCGCGCTCGCTTCCCTTCGGGGTGGGCGCCTCCGGGGGCGCCCCCCTCCCCGAGGCCGCGGGCCCACCCGCAGGTCTGGGCCCGCCGGGCTGATGCTCCTTGCACGGGGCGGGCGGGGGCGGCGGCCCAGGGCTGCCTCTGGTGACCCAGTGCTTTTGGGTGCGGTGCCAAGACTCCAGCGGGGTCCTGGCGCTGGCCCGGCGTGCGCGCTGACCGCCGTGCTCTCTCCTGGGCCCCCTCCCCGCTTTCCCCCTCCGTTTGGGGCTGTACCCCGCAGTGCTCAGTGCTCAGAGATCCTCCGGCAGCGCCTGCCCAGCTGCAGTCGCTCTGCCCCGCGGGGTTTTTCTTTTTAAGCGCCAGGCCCTGCTTCCAAAAGCCCGTTTCTTCCTCACGTTGAGCCTTCCTCTCCCCACCTTACAGACGAGGCCTACACGGGGGCTTCGACCGCTTCCCAGGGCTCTGCAGCCCAGGAAGGTACCGTGCGGGGAGGCGCCTTGCAAAGCCAGGCACGTCAGGACACTTTGTTGTTGCTTTGGGGCCACACCTCCCAGCTCTGCACTCAGGCATCGCTCCTGGCCGGCTCCCGGGACCAGTATCGGGTGCCGGGATCGAACCCCGGGTGACGTGCAAGGCAAGTGGCCTCCCCACCGAACAGCTCTCCGGCTCTGAGTTCTTTGACATTCAATCGTCATCTTCTCTGACTAAAATCTCCAGCCAAAAGGGCCCCAGCGAGGGGCTGGAGCCATAGCACAGCGTGTAGGGCGTTTGCCTTGCATGCAGCCGACCCGGGTTCGATCCCCAGCATCCCATAGGGTCCCCCTGTGCATCTCCGGGTGTGACCCAAAAAAGCAAAAAAATTTAAAAATTTAAAAAAAAAGGGGGCCTCAGTGGGCTGAGAATCCCTAGGCTTACCCACTGTCCCCTGCTCCCCGGGAACCTCTGGCTGGAGAAGGGACCGAGCGTGGGAGTACGGAGAGCCACCTGGCTAGTCACAGCTGCCCCCGGGCCCTGCCCACCTGCTCAGCGAGCCCTCACCCCCACTGCCTGTTCTCCCAGGCTCTCCCCTGCCGCGGGTGTCTTGGCTGTCGCCTTGCGCCTCCCCGGGGAAGGTGTCTCCAGGAGAGCTCTGTGCTAGCGGTGGGTCGGGAGGCTCTCAGGCTTGCAGGTGACCCCCACCCCGCTGTGATCGCACACCCTGAGCCTCAGTTGCTTCCTGCTGGCAGATGCTCCCAGAGCCTCTTCCCTGGCGGTGAAAGGTCGTGTGTGCCAGCAGCTGCGGCCTGGGTCCCCGTGCAGGGCGCCCTGGGGCTGCCTCTGCCTGGCCCTGGCCCTGGCCCGAGAGACGGAGTTCCCGGAGTTCCCGCCGGTCCGGCACTGCCCTGACCCGAGGCCCTGGACCACCAGGAGGGGCTGTGCAAGGGCCCAGGCTGCGGTGGGGGTCGGGGTGCGAGGTTGCTGGGCCAGTCACGTGGGGCCTCCGAGGGTGTCCCGCCGGGCTCCTTCCTCTTTCTGGGAGTGAAACGCTGGCAGAACACTGGGAGCAGCCCACTTCTGACTCGGCGTTTTCCAGCCCCAGACTGCTGAGTCACCGAGGCCCTCCGAGGCGGGGGCTAGGGCCGGTGGGGATGCCGCTTTCTGGGAAGGCGTCCTCCAGGTGCTGGGAGGTAGCCTCTGCTCCCCTTGCCCGGGGTGTCCGGGAAGACGGGAGGGGAGGACGGGAACCGCAGGCGCCCCAGGAAGCAGTCCTGTTGCAGGCTGGCTCCGGGCTTCTCGTCTTTCCCCCACCTGTGGCCACCGGCTCGGCCTTCCGAGCTTTGCACTCTGCACCGCCCCCCACGGATGCAGTTTCTACCGGACGCAGTTTTACCCTCTTGGAATATTCTGTCGGCCCGCGGGGAGTATATTGTCCCCAGTTGAGAGACACTGTGATAGATGGGGCGGGGGGGAAGGAACAGAAAAAAATGCCCCCCAAATCCGAGTGTCCTGTGGGCTGTGGGTTCCAGCCTTGCCTGGTTCCCTGCGGACACCCTCTCCCACCCGCCTCCATCTCAGCCTCCGGGAGTCCTGCTTGCTTGGGGGTGGGGGGGCAGGGAGTGAGATGGACCGTTGGGGCCAGGCCTCCTTGGAGACCAGAGTGTTTTCCACGCGGGGACGCGCGGAGGCAGAGCTTGGAGCCCGGGGCTGGCGGGGGCGGGGAGGTCCCCACGGCCTTGGCTGCTGGCTCTGGGCAGGAAGTGAGAGGTGGGTTAGGGTGATTGATGAAGCACCAGGCCCGGGACCCCCTGAGTGGCCCGTCTGTCTCATGTGGGGCTGGGACACACGTCGTCTTCGGGCGCTTCAAGTGTCTCCTCACGCAGAAATTGCTGAGTCACAGGGGAACCGCGCTGGCCTTGTTTTCCTCCCAAGCTGGCTTCCAGGATCTCAGTGCCATTCTGCCCCGCCCCTGCCCCCACGGGGGTCCACGGGAGCTCCCAGAAACAAGAGGCCTTCTCCTTAAGTGACCCCAGGGTTCCCCCGCCCCCCCCAAGGGACACGAGGGCATCATGTGAGGAGACAGAGAGGCCTGCAGGGAAAGGGGCCCCCCTCCCCGATCCAGGTCACTCAGCACAGCGCACATGATGTGTCCGTCCACCGATTCCTGCCCAGCGGAGACGGGGACACGTGCCCGGCTCACTGTGGTCTTAGGGACACGATCCCATGTCCTTGGCCCCCTGCCCCTAAGGAAGGTGGGGGTGGGGGCAGCCAGTGGGAGGGGACGTGTGTCCCGCGGGAGGAGTCAGGGGTGAGTCCTCTGGGCTCATCCGGTTTGGGATGTTCGAGAGCTGGGGTTCTGAGAGGTTCCGAACAGCCTCGGGGCTGGAGGCGGCTGCTTTATGTCATCTCTTACCCCCGGATGCCCAGATCGTGACACCACTGAGCTGGTGAGCAGAAGCCCACCCTGGCAACCCTCCTGCCTTGATTTCTTTTTTTTTTTTTTTTTTTTTTGCCTTTTGGGTCACACCCGGCGACGCACAGGGGTTACTCCTGGCTCATGCACTTAGGAATTACTCCTGGCGGTGCTCAGGGGACCATATGGGAGGCTGGGAATCGAACCCGGGTCGGCCGTGTGCAAGGCAAACGCCCTACCCGCTGTGCTATCGCTCCAGCCAGTGAGGGGGAGGCCGTCTTTTTGGGTAAACTAATAGTAATAAGAGGAGCTCCTCTGGCCCTGCTCACAAGAACCAGCAATTCAAGAAACTCCAAAACACTCACCACCCAGGACCGACCACAGACTCACCCCGGGCACTGCCCAGAGCCAGGCTTCCTATCAGCCTCCTCTCAGCCTCCTCTGCCCTTCTCCCTGCCCTGATAACCGCACCCTGCCTGGGCGTCTCCCACGTCCCCATGATCCTCCATCCAGCCCCTGCCCTTGCTGGGGCCCGCCTCAGCCCTGCCCAGACCCTGGCCAGCGGAACGGGACAGAGGGTCATTCCACCCTTTGGGCAGCGCCGACAGGCACCGCCTTCCACTGAGGCTGCTCGCTGTGTCAGCTGAGCAGCAGCTGGCCAGGCCCGGAAAGCCTGGGGGTGGGGCTGGGGGCATCTTGCTCTTTGCTGCAGCTGAAGGGAGTGATGCGGGCTCTGGCCAAGGGCAGCAGGAGGCACCGGGCACCGGGCAGCAGGGTGTCCTGATCCTGCAAGACCCAAGCCTGGGCTTGGACAGAGCCCCGGTGCCCAGGAGCGAGGCCACGGCAGTGAGGTGCAGACTTGGGAGGACGGCTGCCCCCTCGCTGGTCAGCAGGAGGACGACTTCCCCCTTCAGCGGTCAGCTGGAAGACAGCTTCCCCCTCAGTGGCCAGCGGGAGGACGGCTTCCCCCTCAGTGGCCAGCGGGAGGACGGCTTCCCCCTCAGTGGTCAGCAGGAGGACAGCTTCCCCCTTCAGTGGTCAGCTGGGAGGACGGCCTCCCCCTCAGTGGCCAGCGGGAGGACGGCTTCCCCCTCAGTGGTCAGCAGGACGGCTTCCCCCTCAGTGGCCAGCGGGAGGACAGCTTCCCCCTCACTGGTCAGCAGGAGGACAGCTTCCCCCTTCAGTGGTCAGCTGGGAGGACGGCTTCCCCGTCAGTGGCCAGTGGGAGGACGGCCTCCCCCTCACTGGTCAGCGGGAGGATCGCTTCCCCCTCAGTGGTCAGCAGGAGGATGGCTTCCCCCTTCAGTGGCCAGCTGGGAGGATGGCTTCCCCCTCAGTGGCCAGCGGAAGGACGGCCTCCCCCTCACTGGTCAGCGGCAGGACAGCTTCCCCCTCAGTGGTCAGTGGGAGGACGACTTCCCCCCCTCAGTGGGAAGTTCCAGAAACGGTTGGCCTTCGCCTGCTCAAATGTTCTGAGTTCCAGACCCCTTTACACCCCTGAAAAGTAGAGAAATCCCACTGGAATCTTATTTATGTAGGTTATATCTGTCATAATACTGTATCAGCAATTAAAACAATACATTTTAAAGCCCTTTAAAGTATTAAAATATAAAACTAGGGGCTGGAACAATAGCACAGCGGGTAGGGCGTTGGCCTTGCTCGCGGCCGACCTGGGTTCAATTCCCAGCACCCCATAGGGTCCCCCGAGCACCGCCAGGAGTAATTCCTGAGTGCAGAGGCAGGAGGAACCCCTGAGCATCACCGGGTGTGACTCCAAAAGAAAAAAATATATATATATAACTTGTTGTGAACATAAATAACTGTTTTTGGTATGTGAGAAATGTATTGATGACTTGTTTCCCCAAACCAAAAATCTTAGGAAGAAGAACTATGTGGATACATATATATATATATATATATATGTATTATATATATCACTGTCACTATTACGGTCCTCCCGTTGTTCATCGATTTGCTCGAGTGGACCCAGTAACATTGTGAGACTTGTTACTGTGTTTGGCCTATCGAATACATCACGGGGAGCTTGCCAGGCTCTGCCGTGCGGGCGAGATACTCTTGGTAGCTTGCCGGACTCTCCGAGAGGGGCAGAGGAATCGAACTCGGGTCGGCCGTGTTGGCTGCGTGCAAGGAAAATGCCCTACCCGCTGTGCAATGGCTCCAGCCCTTATATATATATATATATATATATATATATATGTATGTATATATATATATATATACGTATACAAAACTTGGGGGCTCCACCCGGTGGTACCCAGAGCTTATTCCTGGCTCTGCACTCAGGGACCACTCCTGCCCATCTCAGGGGGCCCTCTGGGTGGCAGGGATGCAACCCTGGGTTGGCCGTGTGCAAGGCAAACACCCTCCCGGCTGTGCTCGGGCCCCTGGTTTCACATTTCTGCAGCTGCCCCCATCTGGCTTGACAAACAGGCCACGTCTCTCTTACCCGCTTCTGCTCTTGCTCCGGAACACAGGCTGTCGGTGGGCAGATGGGCGAGGACGACCCGCATGGCCTTGGCGTGAGATGCAGATCGGCCTGGCCCGGGGGCCCGGGAGAGGCGAGGGGGGCCGCCGCCTCCCCTGACCCCGTCCGTCCTCCCACAGGTGTGCTGGCGCTCTGGGTGCTGGTGACGCACGTGATGTACCTGCAGGATTACTGGCGGACCTGGCTGAAGGGGCTGCGCGGCTTCTTCTTCGTGGGCGTGCTCTTCTCCGTGGCCTCCGTCACGGCCTTCTGCGCCTTCCTCGCACTGGCCGTCATCCAGCACCAGAGTGAGGGCCGGGCCGGGGGTGGGCACCCTGGGAGGACTCGGTGGTGCCGGACCCTGCAGGCTCCACAGCTCAGACTCGGGGTCCTGGGCAGGCACCTCCCTACCCAGACCCGGAGGTGCTTGGCTTGTTCAGGTGGAGAACCAGCCTGCGCGGATGGCAGCTGGATGGGACTCAGGGGGTCGGGGCTAAGCCAGGGAGGGGCAGGCCCAAGCCCGGGCGGGAGCGCCCCCTGGTGGCTGTAACGCCACGGTGCCCAAAGGGCCCCCCCCCCCCCCCCGCCCCCTCCGATGCTGAAGACCCTAGCGGACCTGGGTCCAAGTTACCGAAGCACAGGCGAGTCGTGGAGACCCGAGCGGCCAAGGCCCCTTCTCCCTCGCTTGTACTGCCTCCTGCCATAACCCCTGAATATTTTACAGCCTGTCACGGCGTCTGTGCGGGGAGGATTTTTGCAAGGGGACCGATGGGCGGTGGGTGGGGGTGGGGGGCAAGGACCCCTCAGGTCACACCTGGGCGCCTCTCTCCCGCAGGTCTCACGGACCCCAACAGCTACTACCTCTCCTGTGTCTGGAGCTTCATTGCCTTCAAGTGGGCCTTTCTGCTCGGCCTATACGCCCACCGCTATCGGGCCGACTTCGCCGACATCAGCATCCTCAGTGACTTCTGAGCCGGGGGTGGGGGTGAGGCCTCTGCAGCCTGGGGGGATCCTGCACACCTGGACACGGCCTCAGAAACAGCAGCTGGGGACTCAGGGAGCCGTGGCAGGAGGGCTGCCTCCCGGGAAACCAGTCCGTCCTCGGGGGAAGGGGGGAGATCGGGGTGCGCTGGGAAGGGGGCCTTCTCTCAGGCAGGAGTGTGGCCAGAGCCCCGAGCCCAGGAGGGCGGAGGGCAGTGAGGCCGGAGGTCGGCTCCTGGGGCTCGGAACCTGCTGAGCCCCGTGTGTTCCCGCAGGGAAGGTCGAGGTAGGCATCTGTCCCTCAGGTTCTGACCCCAGGACCTCTGGCCCCGAGGCCTGCCCTGGGGAGCTCTGAGCTCCGTGCCCAGGCCTGGGCCATGCACTGGACCACACTGGCCCAGGTCTCTGCCCTGGCCCTGACCCCTGTCCCACGGGCGCCTCCCACCACACTTCTCACCCCTCCCCACTCAGGAGCCCGGCACCCCCTTGAGGGCGGACTGAGAAAGAAAGGGTCTTGGACAGAGTGCGCCTGCCCCCCCAGAAGGGCTCCGGGAGACAGGCGGCCCATTGAGACCAGCAGGGACCCCCCACCCCGCCCACTGCCCCAAACCTCCATTCCACCCCCAGCCTCACCCTGCCCAGCCACACCCAGCCTCGCCTCGCGGGGGCGCTGTTCCCGTAGAAACCTGCTCCTTCTAGGTGAGACCTGTTCCTGACCCCACACTGGTGTGGCAGCAGCGGCGGCAGGGACGCTTCTGTTAGGCCCCTTTGTGCAGGCGACCCTGTTCCCCACCCGACGTGTCCAGCCTCTCGGCTCTGCCTTATTGGTGTCACTGTCACTTGAGCAGAAATACAGCAGTCATCTCTCTCGGACGGCCGGGCTGGTCTCTCACGTTGGCTGTAGTGGGGGGTGAGCTGGTGGCTCCCTTTCCCCGAGCTGTGTCCTTGGGAGGCAGGAGGGGACCCACTAACTAGCTCAGCCCTTCAGCGAGGCCCGGCCGGGGCCAGGATGCCCAGGGCACAGCGTCTCTGGTCTGTGAGCCAAAGCGGCCCGGACGGCCAGGAGCGGGGCAGACCCGCTCCCTCCCCGCCCTCCTCACTTGCTGTCTGGGGGACCTCTTGGAGATGCAATACCCCCAGCTCGTGCCGAAGGAGCTTGCTGGGGCCCGTGGCCTCGCCTGTTCTCTCTCCGAGGCGCCTCATGTGCTGGTGAAGTTAGGTGCGTCAGAAGAGGGAGGACCCATAAACACTTTAGCTGGCACACAGAGGTCCAGGCGATGTGACTTGCCTGGGCCCCGGCAGGCCTGGCTGACCAGCTGCTCTGGTCTCCCTGACCCTTTGTAGGCCCTGAACTGAGACCCAGACCCAAACTGCCATTTCTTTGACCCCTCGGACATCAAGGCAGCAAGCGGGGTTTTGTTGTTGTTAATTGGTTTTTGGTCCACATCCAGTGATGCTCAGGGCTGACTCCTGGCTCTGCACTCAGGAATCAACTCCTGGGGATGCTCAGAGGACCCTTGGGAATGCCGGGGATCGAGACCAGGTTGGCCACGGGCAGGGCAAACGCCCTCCCTGCCACACGATCACTGGTCTGCAGCAGAGGGACTCCTCTGCGGGGCCTCTCGGCAAGGCAGGGTGCTGAAGAGGGGGTGCCCCAGCCTGCCGCCTCCATGGCTCTCCCCGCGCTCCCCCCTTCCCTAGGAGGCCTGTACACGTGCACCTTAAGGCAAATGAAACATTTATTGTTCAGATCCCTCCCTTTTTTTTTTTTTTACAAAAACATGCATACATACACAGGATATGGTGGGTCCTGGGGAAGACACACACACACACACACACACACACACACGTGCGCGCGCACCCCCCCCCCCCCACACACACACAAATACTTTCTGTCTTGGCCCCAGGCTGGACCCCAGGAGCCTTGAAGCCTTTGCCGACAACTTCCCGTCCTGCAGTTCACATCCGCTCCCCCACCCTCTTCTCCTCAGCCCGGCCAGTCCGTCAGAATGAGCCGGGGCTCATGGAGGGCTCCCTGGAGGTGGCGCTGTGCTTTTGAGGGAGATGAACATTCGGCACCATTGTCAGGAGCACGATCGCAGGAGCCTCCGCCCGCCCGGTCCTCCCTGAGGTGGGCGGGGCCACACGGACGGGGGCTTTGCTGGTGGCTGCGTCCGGGGCTGGGCGCAGCTTCTCGAGCCCTGCACGCGGCTCCGGGACCCTGTGGCTCTGTCTGCCCCAGGCTGGGGGGGCAAGGCCGGCTGAGGCCCAGTTCACATTTTTGTGTGCAAAGTCTGGGTCTGCAGAGCTGAGGACAGTGGCTACAGGGGGCGCTTGCGCCCGTGTCCTGCGTGGTCCTGAGGAGGGGGGCCTGGCCCCGCAGGATGACCTGCCCCTGGCCTGCCGCCTCTCGGGCTCTTCTTTGGTTCCCAGCCCAGAGCCCCGGGCTCCGGGGGCCCCTGGCCTGCCCGCCACGTCTCTGAAGGCCTCAGGGACAGTCGCCAGAGGGGAGGAGAGACCTGGGTAGGCGGGCAGGGGGGATGGGCAGACGGTTCTGAGGGCTGGGAGTCGCCTTCGCTTGTCCTCCGCCAGTTGTCCAGACAGCCTGCAGGGCAGAGGACACGGGTGGGCCGGGGCCCTCCAGGAGCAACGGGGGGGGGGGGGTGGGTCTGTCGGGAAGGGTCCTGGCATTACCTCTCTTCAGACGGGATGCCCGCGGAGGGGAACACCTATGTGGTCACCACCTCCATTTCTTCTGCACTGGCCCCGGTCACCCAGGAGTCTGGACAGGAAGCCAGGTGCTGCATGCAGTCCCAGTATTTACCTGGGGCAAGAAGCCGGACCAGAAAGGGTCAGGGACACAAGCCCCCAGCCACATCGCATGCACACACACGTGCACGCATGCACAGACATGTGCACGCACACATGCGGGCACACACCTGCACTCACACGGGCACGCACACACACATGCACGTATGTGGGCATGCACACATGCGGGCACACACACCTGCACATAGGTGGACATGCACACATACCTGGGCGCACATACACGCACATACATGGACGCACACACACATGCACATACGTGCACGCACATGCACACACACATGGGCATACGTGCACATATGTGAACACGCACGCATGCACATACGTGGGCACACACAACCGTGCGCACGGCCCGGCCGGACCCTGAGGTTGGAGCCAGGGCTTGTGCCTGCTTTGGGGACAGCGCTGAGCCCACCCTCAGCACGAGGCCTCCCTGACACGCCCCACCCCCCAGCGCAGGTCACGTGGCCGCGAGGGGCCCCATTCCCCTCTCCCTCCTCAGCCCTCGGGTGGGTGGGAGCCGCGCTGGCTCGGGTCGGGTCTAGCCCAGGCCGCTCCGGAGGCTGATCTGGAGCGAGGACGCACGCGGCCAGGGCCCGGGCAGATGCAGGAAGCGGCGCTCTCGGCAAGCAGGGCCCGGCGTGTCGGCCGGCCTGGCTCCGGGCGCTGGCCAAAGGCCCATCCGGCCCTGGGGCCGCCACTGTCTGCAGCTGGGCTGGCCGCGGGGTGCCCTGAGCCCTTCCACACTCACTGTGCACCCGGATCACGGCTTCCAGGCAGCGGATGGCGTTGAGGTTGGGTTTCTGCCTCCAGCCTTCCTCCGAGCGCGGGTCCACCTGGGGGGACAGCACTCTGGCTCCCGTGCCAGGGCACCGGCAGCCCCGCTCTCCCTGGGCACAACAGGCAGCTGCCCCTGGCTCCCCGGGGCAGGCAAGGCGTCTGTGGCCCCCGGCCGGCCTGCGGGGAGGGGTCCGCTCTGGCCAGCCCCCTGGCGGCTCACCTTGTTGCCCAGGAGGGCGGCCACGCAGGCCTCGGAGGCGTCGCAGATGGCCGTGAGGTCGTGGCCGCCCTCCAGTGCCAGCACCACGGCGCCCCCCGCCAGGCTCATCAGCTGCTGCGTCATGTAGCCGAAGCCTGTGGGGCAGCGGGCGGCGTCGGTGGGGGAGGAGCCCACCCCCCCCCCCGCTCCCCTTGGGTGCCGGTGGTCCCGCCTCGGGAGTGGCAGTGCTCGCTCGCGAACCCCGGCCCCCGCCTCCCACCTCCTCTGCAAGGGCGCTCCGCCTCGGGAGCTGCCAAACCAGCTTCACGCTGGCCCCAGCCTGGGCCATGCCAGGAGAGAGGCGCCCGGCAGCGGCCAGGCCCCCCCGCCCCCCGGCTGGGTACCACCCTCTCCGGGCAGCACTGCCCTCCCAGCTGAGCTCACCATCCACCGGTCACCCCAGGCCGGACCCTCCTTACACTTGGCTGAAACATGGTAGCCGCCCAGCGGGGCGGGGTGACCTTCCGCGGCATCAAACCCGGCCGACACCAGGACCAGGTCCGGGGCGAACTCTCGGGCAATGGGCATGACGACCACCCTGACGGGGAGGAAGAGGGGCGCTCAGGGCAGAGGTCAAGGGTGTTCCCTGGTGTCAGCCCGCCAACCCTCTTCACGGCAGGCCATCCTGCCCTCAGCACCCCACAGCACCCCGCCTCCCGGAGGTGTCAGCGATGTGTTCCTGCGGCCCTGGACCCCGGATGCTGGTGAGAGGCAGAGGGAGCCGAGAACGGGGCCGCAGAGGCCTGCCGGCGGGAGGGGAGGGGGGCGTGCATGTTTCTGTGGGACCCTCTTTGTTTGGTCTTTTTTGTTTTCTTTTTGGATCACACCCGGCGATACTCAGGGATTACTCCTGGCTCATGCACTGAGGAATCAGTCCTGGTGATGCTCGGGGCACCATATGGGATGCTGGGAACCGAACCCGGGTCGGCCGCATGCAAGGCAAATGCCCTACCCGCTGTGCTATCACTCCAGCCCCCGGGACCCTCATTGAACTGAGCTGACCACATCCCACCAGTATTCCCTGCAGGGCGGCCCATGGGCCTCCTGGCCCTAATTGTCACCCCCACCAGCCCCTGCCGGCCTTCGCGGCTGCTCCCACCACTGCAGACCCAACTTCATCCTGTGTCTCTAGACCCCAGGCCTCCGGAGACCCACGACCAGGGCCACGGCCCCAGGAAAATTAGCTCCAGAAATGGATCTGGAAACCTACTTCCAGGGTTCTTCCCTGGTGGAGCACAGAGAGGGTCCCTGAACAGAGCCCAAAGCCCCCCCACGTGACTTTGCCCAAGTACCTCCCCCTAGCGACACATCTGTGTTCCCTCCTCCTCCTCTTTGCAGGAAGCCGCCTCTTCCAGGCAGCTTTCTCTGACCGAGTCTGGTGGCCCTGTCCTTCCTCTAGGGTCAGCACTGGCCCTAATGTTAACAGGCGATGCTGGAAAGCACCTTTTGACTTTTTCCCCCCATGCTTGTCTGCTTCCTGGGCTGGAGCGATAGGACAGCGGGTAGAGCATTCGCCTTGCACGTGGCCGACCCGAGTTTGATTCCTCCGCCCCTCTCGGAGAGCCCGGCAAGCTACCCAGAGTATCTCGCCCGCACGGCAGAGCCTGGCAAGCTCCCCGTGACATATTCCATATGCCAAACACAGGAACAAGTCTCAAAAATAGAGACATTACTGGGCCCGCTCGAGCAAATCGATGAACAACGGGACGACAGTGACAGTGACAGTGTCTGTTTCCTGTCCCCCCACCACTGGAGCTCGTTCTTGTTGGGCGTATTCCTTGGGCACTGTGGAAGTGACTTCCAACGTCGAGTGACCGGGGGAGGGGCCGCTGGTGGGCCAAGCACCCCGCCAGCCTTGCCCGGCCAGGACAAGGAGCAGGAGCCAGTGGCCACGTCGGGCCCTCTCCTTGGGAGCCTCCAGAGCAGTTACCTGAAGGCAGCCAGGTACTCCGGGTCCCCCATGGGGGGGTCCAGACCTCCAGCCCAGGCCACGTTGACGTTGAAGCCTTCACCACTGCCAGCCCCCACCTGAAGCGAGGAAGCAAGAGAGAGGTTGAGGCGAGCAGCGTCCCGGGGTGGGGGCTGGCAGCTGAAAACAGGCTGAGAGGGAAGGGTCTGCAGACCGGCGCCCGGGTGGGACGTCACCTCCTCCACAGCCCCGCTGCCTGGGAAGAAGTTGCCGTTGTCATGGCGATGCAGGGAGATGTAGAGCACGCTGGGGTCCTGGTAGAAGGTCTTCTGGGTGCCATTGCCATGGTGGACATCCTGTGGGGGAGAAGTCGTGGGTCAGGCAGAGTCCACGGGATCTAAGGACCACAGTGAGGCAAAGACCCCTCGGGGCCTCTCTTTGTGCCTGCACACAGAGGCCGAGACAGAAAGGGTGGGCACTCGGACCCTCAGGAGTGCCAGCACAAGTCGCTGCGTGGCAGACGTCAGTAGTAGGACAGCACACGTCCAGGGTCGCACGCGTCAAACCTCACGCTTGGGTTCAAGGTCATGCAGTGGGAAGGTCTGAGGCCCAGGGAGGTCCTGGAGATGCCAACCGCCTGGGGGGAGCCTTGGGCCAAGCCCCTGGTGACCCCAGGGCTCAGCGTGGAGAACTGTGGACTGTTCCCTAGATCTGCACAGCGCCATCCCCGCCCTCAGGGTCAGTGTAGACAGCTCTGCACTTGGATGCAGGCGCTGCGGAGCTGACCAGCCCAGGTCCTGGCCTCCTAGGGGTGTGTGTGTGTGTGTGTGTGTGTGTGTGTGTGTGTGTGTGCAAGTCGTGGCCCTCACCTGTGCCTCCACTCCTCATCTCTATAGACCACTGCAGTCCAGGTTAAAGATAAGTATCGAGGGGGCCAGAGTGATAGCACAGCAGGGAGGGCCTCTGCCTTGCAGGCGGCCAACCTGGGTTCGTTCTCTGACATCCCATATGGTGTCCTGAGCCGCCAGGAGTAATCCCTGAGTGCACGAGCCAGGAGTAACCCCTGAGCTTCTCCAGGTGTGTGACCCAAAAGGCAAAACAAACCAAACCCCACGAAAACCTAAGTCTCGTGCTGGAAACACCAGCATCTGGGTTCCACGAGGGCTACGTCCACGTTACCTACTTACTGCCACAATCTGCTGAGAAGACGCAGACGTTCGTGTACTTGTGGCATGTGGCCTGCAGTGGCCAGACTCTGACAAGACAAGCTGGCTGGGGCACCTGCCGTGACCGAAGCTCCTCACACCCCACCCGGGTCTGCGACCACATTGTGAGGTCAGCTACGTGCAGAACCGAGACTCGACTTACCCGCTGGGCCCGGCCCATGGGTGAGGGGTGGCGGGGGGGGACCTACCCAGTCCACAATGAGGATCTTGCTGGCCTTGCCCTGTTCTTGCAGCTGCCGGCAGGCGATGGCCACTGAGTTGAAGAAGCAGAAGCCCCTGGGGAGAGAGAGGTCACGCTTGCCCTTCCCCCCGCCGACCCCAGCCCCTCCCCCCCCTCCCGGGTCTGTCCTGGGCCTTACATGGCTATAGAATGCTCTGCATGGTGTCCTGGGGGTCGAACCACAGCATAACCGTTCTGGGAACAGAAAGAATGTTTGTCACCAACCCGCCTCTGACCCAGCTCTCCACGAACCTGACCTCCCTCTTTCCCCAAACCCAGCCCCGGGCTCCTCCCCGAGAGAGGAGCCCAGCACAGCTGCAGACAGAGGCCTGGCGGCATCCGGGCCAGACTGGGTCCATAGGGCTTGGCTCCCCGGCTTTCAGGCTGCATGTGAACCAAGTCCCCGGCCCGGAGTCCCCAGCTACTGCCACTTGTAATGACAACTGTTGGTGGCACAAAACTGGCGCTGGGCTGAGCACTGCATTCTCACGGCAGTGCTCGGGGGTAAACATTACCTAATCCTCACCCTACCCTGGGAAAACAAAAGTTCCTATGATCTCGATTGCACAGACCGGAGAAACCCGAGACTTGTAGGCGTCTGCTCCGCACAGCTGCCTGGCTGTTAAGTGCTGGATGCGGGGTTCCAAGCACAGCACTGTGCTGGCCACCCGGTCCCCCAGGAACTGTGTCCCCGAGGGTGTGCAGGCACTGGGGCCATGAGTCTTCAACAATAGGGGTTGGGGACCTCAGGACAAGCCCCTCAGAAGATGGTCAACGCACACGGCAAACGCACACGGCACCAGTCTGGTCACTGCACACAGACGCTCCTATGTGCCGGCTCGCGGGCCAGTGGACAGAGAGGTCCCGCTCCCGCCGACCACTCTGGGAGACCCAGGCACAGGGGGCAGTGGTGTGACACCTTGCCGAGTCCCACAAGCCGGGGGTGCAGACTTCCTGTTGGTCCCGAGCTCTCCATTTCCCTTCCGTGCTCCCGGTGGCCTCCCCGAGGGAGGCGGGTCCGGGCCTCGGGCCTTCCCGCCGCCCGCCTTCTCCGAGCGCCCACCTTTAGCTCTCTGGCAGCCACCTTGAAGGCAAGGTCGGTGACGCTGCCGGCGGCCCAGCGGGCAGCGTTGGAGGTGTGCAGCTCGTTCCAAGTGGTGTCCGTGTCCACCTGCAGGGGCCCGAGTCAGCAGCGGCGCCAGCTCAGGGCCAGGAGTGGGGCCCACCCCACAGCCGGAGTCCAGGGGCAGGGAGCTGGGCAGACGGCGCTGCCTCCCCGGTGCCCACCGCCCACAGGCAAGGCCTCGGTGTCCCCCTCCCGGCGGCGGCCACACCACCAGCCCTCGTCCGGTGGCAGCACTGCGCCTGCCTCCCCGCGGGGAGGCCGTGGCCTGGCGTTACCTGGGCGGGACTTGGGGTTTGGGCCGGGAGGGGTCTTAAGCCCAGCTGGCTCTGCTCAGGCCCGGCAGGACGGTCGGAGCTCGAGGGGCCGTCCGCACCACTGTCTTCCACTCGGGGCCCCTAGCCCGGGCTGCGAGGCCCCCCAAACCCAGCCCCTGGGCCTCGGGGCGAGGGAGGGGCCGGGGGCGTGGTGGGGAGATGGGGAGGGCGAGGCGGACCGAGAGAGGCCAGGAAGGCAGAGAGAGTCGCGAGAGGCTGGAGAGAGAGACAGAGAGAGGGAGAGGAGGCAGGAGAACACGGAAGCAACAACAGTTGGAAAAACCAGAAGGTGGCCGAGAGGCAGGAAGTTGCGGGCAGGACTCCGCGGGGCAGCCCACGCAGCACCCCCGGGACGGCTCCCGGCTCCTCCAGCCTGGCGGGGAACCCCGCAGGCCCTTTCGGGGGAGCAGGCAGGCAGGGCTGGCGGCGAGCGGAGCCCCTCAGCCGGGACCGGGCGGTCCCTCCTGGCCCCGAGTCCTCTGCAGGGCGAGACCCGAGCGCCCGCTGGCCTTGGCCTCGGAGCCTGCCTTAACCGAGGCCTTCCACACGGGAGGCACGGCCCACGCTGGGGGGACACAGTGACAGTCCAAGGGGCGCCCAGCTGCCGGAGGGGCATAGGGCTGGGCCTGGAGGGGGAGTGGAAGGAGAAGGTCCCGCTCAGGACCCGGCACACTTACCCCGACCCCGCCGCAGGGCAGCATCACGAACATCCGCTCTGCCCGGAGCCCTGCGGAGAGCAGCGTCAGGAGGGCTGCCCGGTGGGGGTGGGGGTCGGAGTGCCGGGGGTCGCGGGGGGGGGGCTACCTGCCAGCTTCCGGGTGTCCAGCTTGAGGCGGCTGAGCGGGCTGGTGCCGTAGAGCAGAGCGTGCCGTTCCGAGTGCACAGACTGCAGTTCCTCCAGCGAGGCCTTGCGGCCCCGGAGACACTGCAGGGCCAGGGAGCTCAGTGCCTGCACTCGGGGGCCCCCTCCCCACCCCTCTCGGACCCGCCGCCTCACCTCACACTGGCTCCGCAGCCCCCGCTCCTGCAGCCGCGACCAGATGCTCTGGATACGACCCGCGTGCTCCGGGTGCCGGCTGTTGTCTCCGCAGGAGCACTGATGCTTCAGCATCACCGAGTCATACACCAGCCCTGCGAGGGGGTCAGAGGGCGGCCCCTGAGCCAGGCCGCCCTTCACACCCAGAGATGCGGGCGGGCGTGCGGGCGCGCGCACACACACGCACACAGACTTCCAATCAATGCCTTCTACACGGGAGACACGGTCCGCACACACATGCACGCGCACACGCACACGCGCGCGCGTGCACACACACACACACACACACACACACACACAGCCCTTTAGTGGACACTACCACACCACTGCCTTCTCCACACCTGACCCTTGCAATGCCGACTCACTCCACAGGCTCCCACAAGGGAGCTCAGAGCCAATCAGAGAGAGGCCTGGTATGGGGGCTCCTCCCTGGATGGCATAACTCAAGGGGGTTAGGAGAGAAAAGATTCCTAGGACCCCTAAGGTGGTCGGGTGGGGCACTGGGAGAGGAGTTCAGCAGAGGAGGCTGCGGTAGCTGCCTGAAAGGCCCTGAGACTGCTGGGGGAGGGGCCCTCAGAGCCTCTGGGCACACCAGGGCCACCATTTCCAGGACCTGGGAATGCCACTCCAGGTGAGGAGTCCAGAGAGAAAGGAGCGCAAGCAGGGCACAGAGCCGGGAGGCATCCCCGAGCACAGAGTCAGGAGTAACCCCTGCCTGAGTGCCACTAGGTGTGCCCCAACAACCAAAAAAGAAAAAAAAAGTGCGCCTTGGCAAACCATCCTCTGGTTGAGGGAAGACTTAAGTAGAAAGAATTCAAACGAGGAAAAATCAAGTGTCTAACAATCCAAAGACCACTTTAATTTTCCACATCAAAGAACGGGGGAAAGAGACGCTGGGATGGGAAGCCAACACAGTCTCACTTTTTTTTAAATTTTTTAAATTTATTTATTTATTTATTTATTGCT